AGGCCTATCGCCATCACCTCCTTGTTCTCCAACATAATGGAATCCATTATAAACTGCCAGCTCATGAGGTACCTTGAGGATCACCAGCTGATTAGTGACCGCCAGTACGGTTTTCGTCGGGGGCGATCAGCTGGTGATCTTCTAGTCTATCTGACTCATAGATGGGCGGAGGCAGTAGAGTCCAAGGGGGAGGCATTGGCCGTTAGTTTGGACATAGCAAAAGGCCTTCGATCGAGTCTGGCACAAAGCGCTTCTTTCGAAGCTTCCTTCCTATGGGCTTCCCGAGAAATGGTGCAAATGGATCACCAGTTTCCTTGCTGATCGCAGCATCAAGGTCGTAGTAGACGGTGCATGCTCTGATTTCAAGCCTATCAACGCTGGTGTTCCACAAGGCTGCGTGCTATCACCAACGCTGTTTCTCCTGCATATCAATGATATGTTTCAAACTGGTAGCATTCATCGCTATGCGGACGATAGCACTGGTGATGCCTTATATAGCGGCCGTGCCAATATTTCTCGGGAAAACGTCGCTGAGTACCGGAACACACTTGTGTCTGAAGTCGAGTCTTTGCTTAACAAAGTCTCGGATTGGGGCCGACTAAATCTAGTCTAGCAGTTCAATCCTCAAAAGACACAAGTTTGCGCGTTTACCGCTCAAAAGCACCCCTTTGTCGTATATCCTCAATTTCAAGGCACTCCCCTTGCTGCCTCAGCTAGCTAGCTAGGGAATCCTTGGCGTCAACATATCGAGTAGTGTGCAGTTCCGTGGTCACTTAATAATAATAATAATAAATAAATTTTATTTCGTTTTTAAAAAGTAAATGCCTTAAAAACTAGTAGATTGGAACCTCCATTTAAACCAATAATTCACTTGGAAGGGAAGGCAGAATTGGCCTCTAAAAAGCTTGGCGTGCTCAGCAGAGCGAGACAGTATTTCATGCCGGCACACCGCCTGCAACTTTACAAGGCGCAGGTTCGGCCTCACATGGAATACTGTTCTTATCTCTGGGCCGGGGCACCCCAGTGCCAGCACCTTCCACTTGACCGCATCCAGTGTAGAGCTGTTCGAATCGTGGACGACCGAGTTCTTTCTGATCGGCTCGATACACTGGCACTGCGTAGAGGTGTTGCATCTCTTTGCGTATTTTATCGCATCTATCACGGGGAGTGCTCTGAGGAATTGTTCGGATTAATTCCAGACGCTCAATTTCACCATCGCACCTTGCGATACCATCGATACCACCTGGATGATTGGCGGTCCACCACTGTACGATTTAGAAGATGTTTGCTTCCTCACACAAATTCTTTGTGAAATCGATTACCTCCAGCGATTTTTCCGGACCGATACGACTTAGGAACCTTCAAGAAAAGAGCTTACACCTTTCTAAAAGGCCGGCAACGCATCTGCAATTCCCCTGGTGTTGCGGTTGTTCATGGGCGGCGGTAGTCACTTACCATCAGGTGAGCCGCATGCTCGTTTGCCCCCTCTTCTATAAAAAAAAATATTGATAATGATGACTTCTATTTAAAGAGACTCAAATTGTCGATTCCAATCGTCTTTCTAAAAAGTATATTTTTAGAAAGCATAAAAGTATTGTGTATCATATATTATATTCCCAATTTATTTTTCTTTGAGCTAACGATTTTCATTGTTGACAACGAATTAGGTTATCAGAAGAATGAATAACTGAGAAATAACAAAACAAAGACATCACATCATTATTTCATTCACATTATTTTACAGTGCTGTTAAGAAAATGGCTTTTTTCAAAATATGGTTCTTAAATCTTTGCCCTAGTTTTATGACTTCTGAAAGGCCAATTGAGTCCATAAAGCCACCTCTATATGCTTATTACTACTATATGTAATAAAGTTACAGCCTCTATACGTCCCACTGCTGGGCACTTACCTTATTTATGAGAGGGTTTAAGGGCAAGGAAATGTCTGCCGCGCTGCCTCATTACATGTTAGCGGACTTCAAATGTCTTCGGAATATTTTTTTCTTATTTCTCTGACATGCAGGTTTCCTTACGATGTTTTCCTTCATCACCGAACAAAGGGTAAATCAGTACTTAAAATTGCCATTAACAATTTTATTGGAGTCACCAGAGATCAAACCTCTTACTCTTAAACTTACTCACGTACTAAAATTTACAACGAGCGCTTAGCCCCTGAGCTACCACGGCTCACCACTATATGTGTGTATTTACACGTTAAATTGTAACGGGTAATTTGTTAATCGTCACGTTTATTGATGGTATTTTTTTTAACGATGCAGTCTGTATGCTGCTTTATTTTAAGTTGTCACCACATGGCGACTGCACTTCAGTTTTTGTCAGCTGTTTTCTCAACACAAGGCATCATAAAACCATGATAATTATGACAAATAATTGGTTTTGTGGTAACATTTAAAACATAAAACAATTTTAGAAAATGAAGCTGTGCTAAGATGACGATTTTGAATTGCTGCTACTGCAAAATTGTAAATCGGTATTCAAAAGAGTTATTTTTGTAAATTAATTATTTTACATCTAAAAAATCTTAAAAGTTACCAATAGTAAATAAAATATTTTTGTAAGGAACACCATCAATTTATCTACTAGAAACTAGTTCAAACTAGTTTTTTCGTCCAAAAACACTTAAAATTTAAAAATTAAATTCATTAAATATTTTGATGTAAATTAATTCCTTTAATTATTGTTTTATCTTGTTCTTGCTATGAATTATTGACAGGCATTGCTTTATAGGTATGCTATTCAAAATAAAAATATACGATAGTATTTTCAAACATAAAATTAGGATTAAAATCGAACGTAGTGTCATATATGTAATAAATACTAATAGTGAGTTAACTCCTTTGTTATACCTACCACAAAATACTTAATATAGTAATAAAATTTTAATTTAATGCTCTATTTTATATGAATAAGAATGATTATTATCTATATAATACAAACAAATTTATAAATGCATATGAATTTTATAAAATTTAATCAATTGGGTTTCCGACATCGCTTTCATCATTGGGTTCAGTTCAGTTCTTTTTCCCCATCCTAAAAGTACCCAACGTGCTTAAAGAAGTTTGCACTGCAATAATAAAGATTGTATCTGAATGTATGGAATATGGATTATTTATCATCACCTGCTGCGTACGTATATATGACTGCAGCACGAATAAGACCGACCGACCGATCGACCGGGGAAGGATCACGCTCGAGCAGAATACCAGCATGAATTAGCAGCTTAATGCTGTGTTTCCTTTGGTAAAATACGAAAACCTGATAACCTTACTCTTCACGCCTTCTGTAAAAAAAAAGGAAACTATTGTATCGTTTAGTTGATAGCGCGATACGGTCTACGATCGCAGAAGCCGACCTGATATCTATCATCCATTGTTACATGGAAATTTGTGATGCTAAGCGAATGCCAAATTTCAGAGCAGTTAAAAAAATTGTTTGATCTTAACCGTATAGTGGCGAGGTAAAAATACACACTACCCCATATCGTCCCGAGGGTGTCACAAGAGACGACGGAGGGAAACTAAAACAGGAGATAGGCAGCAGCATCTTCTTAATATCAGCTGATTTTTAAAAAAAACTGCGGTCGCCAACCCGCCTGCCAAGTCTAGCAACTATGACAAAATCCCCCCTATGAGGCAATCTATGGGGGATGCCTATGTTCAGATGTAGACTGTTATAGGAGGTAATAGGATAGATTGATAGATACATCCATAGCAATGTCCACTGCTGAACATAGGCCTACCTAACATGCCCACTTGACCTGGATTTCCTTATATGGAAAACATGCCCTTAGTTGCCACGCTTGGTAAGCGAATTGGTAACCGCAGATTTTTATTATTTTGAGTTATAAACAGGAAGACACTGCTGCCGATATCCGGTTTTAGTTTTTCTCTGTCGCTTCTTACGATGGTCGATTACTTGGGGTAGTGGATAATCTTGCACCGGCACTACACGGTTGCTTGATCATATTATACGATTTAACTTTCACATTTAATTGCACGTCTACTTTCAAGGTGTGCTGTTGAGTCAAGTATTCGTTAATTAAAATAATGCATTACCGCGCATTTTGAATTTGACCCCCCGTTTACACTCTCGCGCGAGCGACGAGGCGAGTCGCGAGGCGAGCCACGAGGTGAGAGTGTAAACGCTAGCTCATGGCTCGTCTCGCAGTTCGCCTCGCCACTCGCGGCGCTTGCGTCGGAGGCGGTTTTTTGGGCACGAGGCAAAGGGGCTCGCGAGGGACGCGAGCGTGGTGTTTACACTCGCGCTCTCGTTTCAGTTTGTTTACGGCGCCCTTCCATGATAACATTCGAATTGCTTTTGTTTTAAAATTACAATTACAACAAAATAAAATAATATTATTTAATCTTGCACAATATGTACTAGCAATTTATATAAAATTATGAAACTGAAAAGGTTCTCTTCGATAAATAGATATCATCCACCATATTCTTCCTCAACGACGTATTATTTTTAATTTCCTTCTTTTTAAAATGATCAAGCATCGATATATACTTATTAAGGCAAGAGTTGATGCCGCTATTATTTCGACGTCTTTCATCGTTGCTGGCTCAACGCAAACTGAACACGCATCACGAGAGTGTAAACAGGCACTCGTTACCTCGCAACAACACGCGAACTGCGAGGCGAGCCGCGAGGAGAGAGTCTAAACTTCCTGTATAGGACAGTTATTATACTCTTTGGTCTAAACCCGCTATCAAAGGCACTTGTCTTGCGTAGTGACTACAGAGTACATTGTATATATACGAAAGTAGTGACTTCTCTACTATATATATAGTAATCTATGATAGTGACAAATTTTAACAAATTTTTGTCAAGTAGCAACACGCAAGCTGTACTATTTTTCTATTTATATTTTTGTTGACAGCCAATAGCATCAGCCAATAGCCATCTTTCGCTTGTCAATGCGTTGCAATTTCGTTTTGTTTAATTATATTCACCAGGAATTTTAAATCTAAAATGGAAGCAGCAGCTGAAGAAACCCCACAAGAGAATTCAGCAAATAATGAAGCCGATGTACCTGTGATTGTAAGTTTATTTTATCACCTGAGTTTTAAAAATAGACTGTATCATATGTCGGTAGAATTTTTATAATATTACATCCTTTTTCAGGAACTTGTGTATTTCTGATGAAAATTTAATAGTTTGTTCTATAAATTTTATTTCCAATCACATAAAAGCAATTGATTTATAATGCAAATAAAACAAAAGCAGGTACAATTGTTAACCTAAACAAATTTGGCTTTTATCCAAGTTTTGAACTGTTTATGATATTTCTGTGCTACGGTAAATTTCACGTTTTCTTCTTTTATGGTAAACTATCAAATCGATAAGTTCCCTTTTTAACAATTTCTTATTTTTGTACATCACAATTTAAATTAAAAATAACTAATATCCATTGGATGGCTTGATGCTGGATAGTCCATCATACAATGATTGTGGATGTCGATTAATTCACTGTGTTGCTGGTTTCATACCCTGCTCATATTTATAAAAAGGCTTGTTGATAGACAAAGATAGTTAGTCCCTCATGTGCCTCAACCATTTTATGTTTTAATGTGTCAAGTGTCAGGGGCCGTTCAGGAGGTTGAGCAATACCGGTAGTCGCTAATGTAAATAATGATATCTTTTTAATTTTCTATGCCAGCTATGTATAAAACTTATATAATTAAATATATATATATATATATATATATATATATATATATATATATATATATATATATAATTAAGATATTTGATTCCACTTTTTGAATATTTAATTCTATTTTTATAATATTATCAATCTTGGTATATATATGTATCAACGTAATTTTGCCGGTTTCTTGTACATAAAGTGGAAGATTATGAAATTATGCCATTACATAAAAAGGTATTTGTTTTATTTGCCAAACAATACAACATTATATCAAAAGAGATTAAAAAATCCCACCCCTTCAATACATTTTTTTCACACCATAAACTTTTTAATATGTACCTCTTTTTACGTGGCAAAATATAAGCTGGCATGCATTAGCTGTCAGCCCCCTGCAAGTGTCATGACACATGAGGGGATAACAAATAATTTTGAATCTGTAATTCATTGACAAATTTGAAGCTATTGCCAGTTGAAAATCATCAATTAAATTGCCCCAATTCTAGTGCTTGTTTATTTTATCTTGTATTTAGTGTTATCTTGTTTATTATTTGCTGAAAACATCAGAGTATCGAGAAATATAAATTATCTTTAATAGTTGCTTGTAGTTTTATGTATAATCATTCACTTTTGTTGCATTTTAAATATACCCTTTTTTTTTTTACGAAAATGGGTACCCTTATGGGTACACTATGCGAGCAACCCGGGTTCGATTCCCGCCGGCACCAATGAAATTGTTAATTACGATTTTAAGTGCTGATTTACCACGTGCTTGGTGGTGAAGGAAAACATTGTGAGGAAACCGGCATGTCTGAGAAATAGATGACATGTGAAGTTCGCCAACATGCATTGGGGCAGCGTGGCGGACATTTCCTTGCCCTAAAACCGTCTCAGGAATGAGAGGAGGCCTGTGCCCAGCAGTGGGACGTAAATAGGCTGTAACTTTAACAGGAAGATGCTCTTACATTTTCCTCTGACACCATTTAGCTTTAGTTGGTTTTACAGGTGTGGTGATATGTATCTTATTGAAAGTTATTTTTAGACTAACCCATTTGTGCTGCAGCATTAATATGCTGTAGCACGGTTCTACGATATACAAATTTAATATTTTCAATAGTTTAATGAAGAACAGATAATCAAGCAACTTGTAATTTTGTTAGTAGCTATTATATTCTCTGCATATATGATTTTATCAAATATAATTTGACTAGCTGTGCCCCGCGGTTTCACCCGCGTATATCACGCGTCTACGCCTTGCGACATGCGAACTTCGAGAGAGACATCACGATGGACGGTTGCTGAATTAACAAAGATTTAAAAAGTGAAATATGATACTAAAATTACATGGTTAACGTTATTGGTGGTTATGTATGGTACAGGTTATACGAATAATGTGGCCTAGTTTGTACCGGCGTTACTATTTCACATTTTAACATGAAAAAGTAATTATTGTGACATAACTGTAATAGTTAAATGTATGGTATCACAGGCTTTTTTGTAGATATCCTCTATAAAACTGAACTACTTTGCTCTATTATCAATAGTTTCCGCAGGGTACGCGGTGTAAGGATTATTTTAGGTAAGATTTTCACACCTTGGGTTACATTAACAAAGTTTTCATACAGATACCTAACTTTTTTCAAAGTATTATATAGCCTATGTTCATCAGGGATAATGTAGCATTCTAATGGTGAAAGAATTTTTCAAATCGGTCCAGTATTTCGGAGCCTATTCAATTCAAACAAACAAATCTTTCCTCTTTATAATATTATATTAGTGTAGATTAATGATAATTAAATGATATTAAATTAAATATAATGCCCTAATAATACATTTTCAGGAAAAATCATCAACTCCACCTCCTCAAGATCATCCGAAGAAATCAAAGAAAGAAGATAGATCAAAAAAAGACGACAAAAGTGTGGAACAGCTTATGAAGTCGCTCAACTCAGTTTCAACATTGGATGAAAAATTCTCTCTGGTCTGTAAAAAGTATGCGCAGACTGTTGACTATAATAAAAAGTTGCAGTTCTTTAATAAACAATCAGATAAACGGTACGCCTTGCTACTGAAAGAGAAAGAACAGTTGCAACATGAGTACAATAAAACAATACTTGTTAAGTCTAAACTTGAAAATCTTTGCCGTGAACTCCAGAAACAAAATAAGGCTATCAAGGTACTTTTATAATTCACTTTTATTAGAAATTGTATTGTTCCCACATTTTCTTCCTTACAACCTTATCAAATGCTTTCTCAAGATCCACAAAAGCACAGAAAATCTTCTGGTTAGCAGCCGTGATCATGCAGAGAGAAAACATTTGATCCGTGCATCCTCTTCCAGGTCTAAATCTTAATAAAGTTTTTCTGCCAAAAAGGAGATGGTGCTCAATTTGACTGTATATATGTCTTTTTTATGTGTGTTACGTCATAACTTTTTTATGGGTGAACCTATTTTGATGATTCTTTTTTTACTTGAAAGCTGGTGCTTGTCATGTGGTCCCATATAAATTTGATCAAGGTTTGACAAATAGTTTGTAAGTTATTCTTAATAATTTATATTGAAGCTGGTTGTACAAAATTTTTAATTTTAAATTATATGGTCCCATAGTAGTCAAATCTCAGAAAAAATGCATGATTGTCTTATTGAGGTTCTATTGGACCAAAACTACTGCATACTGTTGTGAGAATCATTTTGATGTTAGAAAATTTGATGTTATTGTGTATTTGAAAAATCATAATAATCATCATGACTCCAATATGTATAATACCACTACGTACTCGTAAAGAGATTAGATTTCATAGTTGGCATCACACATCGGCGTGTAAAGGTCCATAAGAGCACATTCAAAATTAAATATGTATAGGTAACTAATATGGATAATGTTGTTTACATTCATATATATTTAATCAATTTTAGAAGAAAAAAGGGTAAGGCCTGCCACATACATACGGAATTCCGTTTCGATATTCCGATTCGAGATTCCGAACGCAGCAAGTTCATATAAAATCTATGACCCGTCACACACGTATGGTAGTTTTCCGTTCGAAATTTTGCGGGCAAAACGGGATTCCGATCAAAACAAAAGTCAAGGATTCGACGGGGAGTGTGAGGTGTACAAGTGTTGTTGTGTTTTTGGCTATTTCTTATTCTGAGAGCTTACTTTTAGATTTACTTTTTTGCTTATTATTTCTATTGGTGTTAATAGTTATAAATCCGTAAGTATTTAGTAATTGTGCTGTTTTATATGTAATTAGTTAAAATAAAATGGAGGAAGATCCTCCTGATCCCGACGGGGTTCCATGTGACTCCCATATTGTTACCAAAAAAAATAATAATATGCCTATCGAAATTGATCAGTCGAAGCGTAAAAGATTGCAAGTAACCAATAACTCAGCTCAACCTCAGAAAAGATTAATTACAGATCCATCTGACTACATAGAAAAAAAACATAAATATTCTAATAACGACAATGCGCCGTTTATTGTTCATGTAAGTAAGAGAGTAGATGATTTATCAACTGGAGTAGTTTAAAAACCGATAAAGTTTGGTCATTTTCTCTACCATAATAATATTAAAAATGTTGTTAGTGATGGTGTTAAGTGAATAGGACGCAATAAAATTTCTGTCGAGTTTAAAAGTGCAGCTGATGGAAATTGTTTTATTGAGAACCCAGCCCTTGCAGGTGCTAAATATGATACTGTAATCCCTTCTTATAATGTCACACGCATGGGAATAGTGAGGCAGGTCCATGTAGAGTGGACATTAGAGGAACTCATATCATCAATCAAGGTCCCAGCTGGTTTTGGCTCAATTATTAAAGCTCGCCGATTTAATAGAAAGTCAGTTAATGAAACCAAAGTACTGTGTGGATTCCCTCTCAAACAGTTGTTTTAACTTTTTCCGGCCAGAAACTTCCTTCTAACATTTATTGTTTTTTCACCTCAATTCCTGTTGAGCTCTACATTTTACCTCTTATTCAATGTCACAAATGTTGTCGTTTTGGACACGTAACCTCACAGTGTAGGTCACAGGTAGGTTTTGTGTGTGCTCAAAATCATGAAGGAATATCATGCACAAGACAGTCTCCTACTTGCCTATTTTGTTCAGGATCTCACACGGCTAAAGATCCTTCCTGCCCTGAACACTAGGCACAGATCTATCAAACTTACCATGTCACAGGAAAATATTTCCTATCTAGAAGCATCTGCCCATTTCCCTCAAGTCCGAAGACTTCCGCCAAATCCAGCATCAAGTCATGGATATGATAAATCTGCCCATGAGGCAATAATAGATACCCCTTCTTCTTCAACTACTAATGGTTGTGCTTTAATAGGGCGGAGTATTTCCCCTAATGACAATCTCTGTGAGTTAATGATCTCCACGCTTATAAGTATGCTTTCCCGTTTCAGCTATATGGATCTCCCACTTGCCCTCCGCCAAAAACTTACTGAGCTCATTTCATTAACAAATAACCTTCCCTCCAATACTTCAGTGGAACTGCCGGAGCATTAATAATAAGAAAAATGAATTAATTTACCTTATTAATAAATACCATCCCCTCATCCTAGCCATCCAAAAGACATGGCTTAAGCCTGGGTCCCATTTTAGGATCTCAGGTTATTCATGCCTCAGGGATAATAGGAATGATGGTCATGCTGGCTCTTTCATTCTTATCTCAAAATCAATTACTTATACATTAATTTCCCTTCCTTCTCATAATCCTTCAATTAATGCTGTAGCAATTAGAGCTTATACCATTCTTTTTTCTCTATTTACATTCCCGAACCTAGTTTAAATATCTTGTCAGAACTTACGAGGATTATATCCTCCATCCCTCCTCCTATGGTAATTCTTGGTGATTTTAATATGCACCATACTTTATGGGGCTCCCATTTTTGTGATCCCTGGTCTTCTACATTTTTAGACATCATTGATGATTTAGATCTCTGCCTCCTTAACGATGGTTCACCTACACGTAGAGTAACCCCCTCCAAAAAAAAGTGCAGTAGATCTGTCATTCTGTTCTCCTGCCCTGTCGTCCCTTCTTTCTTGGAGAATATTACCCTTTTCCCATGGTAGTGATCATTTCCCTATTGTTATTAATCCCCCTAGCTCCTATACAGTCAATGTTCCATTTAATCCTAGGTTAAAATATAACACATCCAAAGCAAACTGGCAACTATATTCCACAGTTCTAGAGGAAGAACTATCCCTCCTGTTCAGAAAGATAATGTTCTTCAGGTGTATTCTACTTTTAAAAATGCTATTTTATCTGCTGCCAATAAGACAATCCCCATCAAAAAACCTTATAAAAATAATGCTCCTTCACCTCCTTGGTGGGATCAAGATTGTTCTGTAGCATGTAAGAAGAGAAAGGAAGCTGAAGTAAGATATTCCCTCTATGAATTTTGACAACTATATTTTTTATAAAAAAAAACTGCTGCTGAAACATTAAAATTATTATCTGGGAAGAAAAAGGCTGGATGGCTTAAATTCTGTGAGTCACTGTCGCCTAGGACTCATCCATCATTAGTCTGGAAAAATATTAAAAAATTCCGATGTTAAGTTTTGGCCTCTGAAAACACAATTTCTAATGATCAGTCTTATTGGCTAGAAAATTTTGCTAGTAATCTTGCTCCTCCTTCAGTACCATCTTACAATGAAAGTATAGCATTTCAATCACAGTCCTTGCACTATCAACACAGTTTTGACTCCCCTTTCTATTATGAGGAGTTATATGCTGTTCTTAGTGTCCTTAAAGACTCTTCACCAGGAATCGATGGAATTCCTTATTCTTTTATTACTAATAGCAGTGAATCTACTAAAGCCCATCTTCTTTCTATTTTAATTTTTATTTACATGTCCGGTATTCCTCGTGAAGAATGGAAATCCCAAGTTATTTTACCTATTTACAAACCAGGTAAGCCTCACACTAATCCCTCAAGCTACCGCCCTATTGCTCTTTCTTGTACCGTGGCCAAAATTCTTGAACATCTAATAAAAAATCGTTTAGAATGGTTTCTTGAAAGCAAAAAGCCAATTTGGATTCCGAAAGGGCTTAAGCACCATGGATAGCCTTAGTACTCTAGTTACTGATATTCGTATAGCTTACTCTAAACATGAATACCTTGTTGGAGTCTTTTAGATATCTCGTCTGCATATGACAATGTACGTGACTAATGTATGTGACTGAGTATTCCAGTGAGGATAGTAAATTTTGTCTCTAATCTTTCTCTCTTCTAGATCCATTTATATTGATAGTCAAAATTCTCTACTCCCGCCAAGAATTGTATGGAAGGGTCTCCCACAAGGCTCAGTACTTAGTCCTTTGCTCTATTCTATCTATAATTATGATCTAGAACTTTCTGTTAACTCATTCTGTAACATCCTCCAATATGCAGACGATATAGCTATATATATTTCCTTGGATAACCTCGCTACAGCTTGTTCCCGCTTGAATTTATCAATGTCCTATTTACAAGATTGGTTAACTGATCATGGTTTGTCCTTGTCTGTTCCCAAAAGCAGTGTTGTCATCTTCTCTCGCCATAGGCAACTCCCTGAAATCGACATTCTCTATAATCTTTTCTCATCATATCAACTATGTCTCAAAAAAATGTAAAAAAAATATAAATATTCTTCGCGCTTTATCGGGAGTTTGGTGGGGCTCCTACCCACTCTCTCAAAAAATATTGTACAACGCCCTTATTCGTAGTCATTTGGATTATGCGTGCTTTGTCTTGGAACCATGTAATAAGTCTTCCCTAAAGATCCTAGACAGGATTTAGACGAAAAGCCTTCGTATAATCATTGGGCCAATGAAATCTTCCCCAATAAATGCTCTCCAAGTCGAATATGTAGATCCCCCTCTTTACCTAAGAAGACAATATCTTTCGGACCGATTCTTTTTTAAAATCTATCAACTCTGTTCCCATCCTCTCATTTCTAAATTACACCTTCTTTTGGAATATATTTCATCAAAGCATTACTGGACTCATAAAGAATCTCCCTGCTTATTCAACAGTTTGGTAACATTACTCCATCTACCACACCCAGTATCACAATGCAAGTCCTGTCCCATCTTTGATATCCCATATGATGCAATTATTTTCCAACCAAATATCCACCTCGACCTTGGTATTGAGAAAGATTGCCCCATAGCAAATAGTAAACTAAGTAGAGTCATAGATAATTTATGGAAAGGCTGGCTTATTATATACACTGATGCCTCCAAAAAGTCAGGTGAAAGTTGCACTGGAGCAGCAGTTTGGATTCCCAGATACAAAATAATCCTCAATTTTAAATGCCCTTCTATTTCTTCAACTTTTACTGGCGAGGCCACGGCAATTTATGAAGCTTTGATTTATATAGAAGCACACAACTTAAATAAGTCAGTTATTCTTACCGACTCCAAAAGCTGTTTGTTAGCAATTTTGTCAAACCTGTTCCAAAGTAAATATAAGATACCCTTGATCCTCAAAATGAAACACACATTGTATAGATGTCATCTCAAGGGCATTCAGGTTTCCTTAGCTTGGATTCCAGGTCATAGTGGCATCAAGGGCAATGAAACAGCTGATCTGATGGCTAAAAATGCAAGTCGAAATGGTTTGCTATGTAATTTAATTTACTCTTCAGACATAGTGTTACTTGCAAAGAAGAAGTTAAATAATAATTGGAACACATTATGGAAAGCCACTCAAAATATAAAAGGTAAACACTATGCTGCTATACAATGTGCCATCCCTCCAAAACCATGGTTTTGAAATTTAATAAAGCTAACAAACAGTCCACATCAACTATTTGTAGACTTAGAATTGGCCATGCTTGTACACCAGTACATTTAGCCAAACTGAGGATTAGGGATAGTTCCCTCTGCGAATGTGGGTTAGATGAGGGAACCTCTGACCATATTTTTTTTAACTGTCCTAAATTATCTTTTTCACTCTATGATCATCTCCCTCCTGACATCCCTCGTCCAATAAACTTTGATTCACTTTTAACCTACACAAATACTCCTTATATATTCTGTGTAATTTTATTAACACTAATAGTATAAAAGTTTAATGTTTGTCAATACTAATACACTAATGTAGTTATAGCAACTGTGTTTGTCATTTGTTCTAGGTAATTCAACAGTACAACCACTAATATTACAAGATAAAAAGGAAAATTTAATTGTTTAAAGAAAATAAGATTCTTGCATTATCACAATCTTCTTTAGTACATGGGCATAGTATTTGTAACTACTGAGCTTGTACTCAATAAACACTTTCACGCTGACATTGGCGAATAATCAAAAACCGCCATAAAAAAAGAAAGAAAAAGAAACGGGATTCCGTATGTGTGTGGCCGATCTTCGGAATTCCGTATGCATGTAGCGGGCCTAAAGGAATGAAAATGAATGCAAGTACGACGAAAGTGACGCAATGCCGGCAGAGCCGCAGCTAAACATTTACCTGCTCCAAATATTACTTTGTTTTTATTCCAGGAAGAATCACTTCTCAAGATCCGTGAAGAGGAAGAGCGTCGTAAAGAAACGCAAGCCAAGTTCCAAAACACACTCTCAGAAATCACCACACTTCTGCAACAGAACAATGAGAAAAATGCTAAACTCCGAGATGACAATATTAGCATGAGCGAAAAGTTCAAGAGTGTCATGCAGCAGTACCAGCTAAGAGAGCAGCAGGTATTTAAATGTTGGGACAAAATACTTCTAAAATGGAACTTACAGCTGTTGGTCATGCTTTGATGTCTTTCTGTCTGTCTGTAATAGTAATTTGTGTTTTCTGTTTCTGCCTTGGTGTGCACTGCTATGTTTCAGTCTGTAGGTATAGAGGGATAGTATTAGTAGAGGCTATGAGGAATTCCATCTTACTCCTGTCAGAGGTAGAAACACATCTGTGCCTTCTTTATTTGAAGTTTGTTAATGGTGCCAATGAGCTGCAGCAGTCACTTACATCAAGTGAACTGTAAGTTTGTTAGTAACTTAAATTAAAAAAAATACATATAGTCAGCTATTAACAGTAGTTGCCAGGTGTCCACCCCTTTGTTGTTGATATTCCACGCATTCTAACCAAACGGTATGCTCTGTCTTGTAATGACTATATAGCAAGTGATTAGAATAATTTGCCAGTGTTTGTCTTTCCATCTGACTACAATCTGGGTATCTATAAAGCAAGTATGAATAGGCTTTTGTTGACTGAGACAGTTCAATTTACCATCTATATTCTAAAGCTTTAAATATAGGCCGTTTAAGAAATTTATGGCATGATCGTCTTATTTGGGACCCTTATTTACATTGTGTTTACTATGTAACTTAGTTCTTTTAGGTGTCTCTTGGAAGAATGAATATTCACTAGAGCAGTCGAAAGTTGGTAGTGCCTTATAAGCTAAAGAACCCCGTTCATGAAGACAGGGCTCAAAAAGGTCAAAATGTTCTTAACATTAAATTGTCCCTATTCCACTTGTATCAGGTTCACAACAGTCAATTCCTTATTAATTAATCCTTACCCACTTGGAAAAAGCTCACAATATTTATTTAAAATAGCAGATACAAGGGCTACCCTCTCCCACAATTAAAAAAATGTGGGGGAAGCACACGGCTCCACACACGCCGTGTGCAGTGAGCTCCAACCAACCAACGCTCTCCCGCAGTCCACAGCAAAATAACTGGTGTACCAGTAAAAGAGGGCTTGGACCCTTGGTAGTGCGTAAGCACAAACATCGACCGAAGTCGCGCATGTCAATACGTGTAAACGCCATACAGAATACGATCAAATCCAGCCACAGTGAATGTACGTTACACGGATTAGGCAAGAAGCCCTCCGTGAGCGCCACCACCTGCCAGACTGTCGTTCCTGCAGACGTGATGTCCCACGTTGCGCGGCTTTCGACCGCAGCCTTGAGAGCTTCCTCCGGTTCTCCCTCCATCTACCACCCACATGAGGTCGACACATATGCTCCTACAACCAACACAATGGCAGATATAGCCAATAGGCAGTTATAAGGTAATAGTAATAATTCGCCATCAGAAAGGGTTTGTGTCACCGACATTGAGTATATGCATTTTTCGATCATGTTTGTCTCACCCATCAACAAGTTGCATTCAATCATTCAAAGGTATTAAATTTATAGAGGTATATTATTATGTTGTTATATATAAAACATCATGGAGGTCAGACAGTCTGCAGACCCGTAATGAAGGGACCCGAAGTCGGGCTTACACCATCCCAAGTTCCCCTATACAATCCCAGCAGACAGACAGACACAATATAAGGCAATTATCTCTATATTACAAAGAGACACTTTAATTTTATTTTAATGTATAGTTTTAGATCTGACAATCTATTATAAACTATAATAGGTTTCTTTCTATAATAAGTCTTTAACTATGAAATTGCCGTCCTTCTGTACTGGCAATTTAAAATTAAAATAATTTTTGTTTTCACTAAGATTCTCATTTTAAAATTAATTTTATTTAAAAAAAATGGAATTGTTCTTTCAAAATTAGTCATTTGTTTATTGATTTGCGTTATGTTTTCATTGCTGTTGAATCTTTTCGTCATCATATTATGGATACGTTAAAAAATCGAGTAATTATGGAATATGAGTACCGTCGTGTCAGCAACGCGGCACCAGTGGCACGCAACATCAACGACGTTTACGTACGTGAACGTAACGCTTACGTGATCGTCCGAAAAATTTGGTCGACAATGATGAATTAAAAGGCAATTGTGGATGCTTATGATACTCAATCTAGGGCTGATTTAGCAGCAGCTTTCGATGTTAGCATCAACCAATATTGGTTCATTTGCATCAAATTCGCAAGCTAAAAAAGCTTGACAAATTGGTGCACCACGAACTCAATGATCGCCAACGCGAAGTATGCGTTGAGACGTGCCTTGCACTGCTGAACAGGCACACAAACGAAGAAATTTTAAACCACATTGTTACCTGTGACAAAAAATGGATTCTGTTTGACAATCTGAAGCGATCAGCAAGTTGGTTGGATCCTGGTTCAGCACCTAAACAATGCCCTAAATGAAAACTTACCCCCAGAAAAGTGACGGTCATTGTTTGGTGGTCTAGCGACGGCGTGATTCATCACAGCTTCTTACCAAACGGAACGAGCATTATTGCATATGTGTAATGTGGAGAACTGAACACAATGATGGAGAAGCTCGCACGTCTCCAACCAGCTTTAGTCAATCGCTCGTCCCCGTTGCTCCTGCACGACAACGCGCGACATACTGCACAACAGACGGTTTCCAAGTTACAAGAACTGGGGCTGGAAACTCTTCGTCATCCGCCATACTCATCAAACTTTGCGCCTACAGACTTCTACTTTTTCCAGAATTTTTATAATTTTTTGGCAGATTTTTTACGTGGTAGAGCCATGCAGCAGCTATATTAATAGTATAGTTGTAGCACGAATGGGTCGGCTCGACCGGAGAAGGACCACGCTCTCACAGAATAGCAGCGTAAAATAGCAGTTTAACGCTGCTGTGTTTCGTATGGTGAGTGTACAGAACCGGAGACCTTTTTTACTGGAAAAGAGAAAAGTGGCATTCTATCTTAGTCCTCACGGGTGACAACGCATCTGCATTTTGATTCTTTATTGAGGATAGATGTGGATGTCTATGGGTCACAGCAACCACTTACCATCAGGTGGATTGTGTGCTCGTTTGTCACCCTATCTGATAAAAAAAAGGAAAAGAATTTAATACCCGAGAGCCAGTACAAAATCCTATTGAAGAATTTGTTTCCTCTCATCCAGCTGATTTCTTCAAAATAGGCATCACTTTGATTAATAGAAATTATTTGGGATAGTTTAGACGGTGGATTAGTAATTAGCAATGGAATTGAGTTTAATTAGGCTGTATTTGTTTTACTTCTATAACTTTAATTTACTGACATTAGAGGACTGTAACAAAGAAAGAAAACGTGGGACGATTTACAATTATATATTATCATTATTTACAATTATGCGGCAATTAGTAATTAAATTAATCTATATAGAGTACACTAGAGGGAATATTTTTTTGAGTCTTCTGTTTTTTGGGTGTCTTTTTTGCCGCTTGCGAATCGAATACCTCGGCCGGATGCCCTTGTTTTATTCGTGCGGCGGGGTTATAATCGTTGATGTGTCCCGACGCGGCGTCGCTGTGCGCTCGTTGGCTGCGGGCAGCACGTGATGTCCGGCCGGGTGCGGGCTGCGCGCTGCGGGCTGCGGGGTGCGCGGGGCGTATTAGGTTATGAGGGGGCGAAGGGGGGGGGACTCCTTTCGCCGTCCGTAACAAAAATTACGTTAACTTATTGCATAAAAACGGCAATTTCATAAGTAAAGACATCATTAACATTAATTAAAAAATTTTTGAACCTTTAAAATCTAGTAAAGCTTTCATCTTCCAGGTTGACAAAATGGCGAAACAAATGTCGTTAGAATCTCAATTATCAGATGCAAAACTTCAGAAAGCATCTCTAGAGCATCAGGCAGAAAAGGAACGACTCATGGCCGAGATGGATCAAATCAAAGTAACCCTCACTCAGTACAGGGCCAAAGTCATGGAGCTACAGGCTAATGAAACCGCATTGAAGGGCCAATTAGCCGTTTACACCGACAAGTATGATGAGTTCCAGAATGCACTGGTGAAAAGCAATCAAGTGTTTGGTGGATTCAAAGAACAGATGGAGAAGGTGAGCTAAATATAATTATTGTAAATAACTAAAAAACAATTAAAAATAATTTTTTTCTATGGCCCGTAAAAGTCCTGAAAAATATACCTGTCCAATCTGTAAGTGTTTTTTTATGGTTATATTCTATGCATGAACATAATCAGATCTTTTCAGAGAATAATAAAAAAAAAACATCGCAAAAAAATCAGTTAAATAGGAAAGAACAATGGCAGACTTTCATACATAAAATTAGTTGAGAAGAAATGGTAGCGTCTATATACCAAAAATATCTTAAAATGTTAAGAGTCAGTCCCTTAATAACTCTGTCAAAGAATTTTGTACTGAGAAGGCGTCAAAAAAATAGATATTTACATTTGAACCTTTTTATGTCCTATGTCACTTGGAAAAAGTCGCGCTTCCTGTGGTTGTTTGATGTTAGCTTAATACATAATACATAATTGAGAGTTTTTAGATTATTGTATCTCTATTATATATTTGCATACTATAAATGTATATTTCTGGCATGGCTCCAGGGCTTTTGTATCATAGTGACATTCTCAGAAGGGCTAGAACCCAGAGCCGTAAAGCCAGTAAAAAAAAACAGTGACATTTTATTTTAGCTAGTGTTGGCATAACATTAAATGGAATTGTTACATAGTACTATGATTGAGATAATGTATTATTGTAGGAAATTCTTTGTAAGAGACTTATTCTCAGCCATATCACTTTTATTTTTATTATTACTGATAGTACAGTTATTACTAATAATAACTTAATATAAAAATATTTTGTGTGTTGTGTTGGTAGTCTCACAAAGTTTATACGAAAATAGTATGAATATACTAAATGGCAACATTTGATTAGAGTAAAATGATTTAAGTCATTTGATATTCCCAAAAAATGTTTGTTTTTTTCTGTGGCTTTAATTAAAATACATTTTTATTCGAAAAATCATAGAATAATAATAAAACTTATTTTATGTATAACTTATTTCTAGACGCTATAATTTTTGTCAACTATTTTTCTGCCATTGCTCTTTACATGACAATACATGTGGCGTGCGTGGCTGTCAGGTAACAATATCGCCACACATTCAAAGATAACCGTCGCTGACGACAGTGTTGCCAGATTTTAAAAATTTGCTAAATTTTAAACAAATTGTAGTAAAACATGTTGTATTGACAAGTATTGCGTTATGTTACAGGCGTTGGTATTATAGGTTAGGGTGATTGTATGTCTTTCATGTTGTTGTTTTATAAATGACGTTTTGCGAAACTAATTTTAAAGGCTTACTCGCAAATCCATTCAAATCTAGAAACACTAGTTACATACAACGATAGTGTTTCTCGATTAGATTTTTTCGGCACACGTTTCATTATCCGAAGATCATTTTTAATAAATTAAACGTTTATTTCTTAAATATTTTATTGCATAAATAGGACAAACTAATAAAAAATATTTCTCGTTGCTTGCGATCACATAATTCCAATATTTCAATTTGAACCACCATTCAATTGTACGCTAGCTACCGTTTTGGGGAGTTCAAAATTTCAGTTGAAATTTTTTAACTCTACAAATATTTATTACAGATGTCGAAAAAGATCCAGAAGTTGGAAAAGGAATCTCTGTCGTGGAAGAAGAAATGGGAGACATCACAGACAGCTTTACTGGATATGTGTGGAGAACGGCAGGCCAGTGAGGAGCGAGCATCTGCAACCGTGAGACAGCTGCATCATATGCAGAGCTTGTGTCGGACATTGCAGGTATGATTTTTTATTTATACAAATAAATAAAATTTAAGTGTCTGTTTGTAACGTCATAATATAACATCTTTTTACTAAATGCATTAACTAAAACACAAATTTTAAAATTTTGTCTGTCTGTTTGTTCTGGCTAATCTCCGACCGATTTTGACGGGACCTTCACTAGCAGATAGCTAATGTTATAAGGAGTATCATAGGCTACTTTTATTTTAGAAAAATTATTAGGGTTCGGCGCAAAAAAAATTAAAACCCATAAAATCTAATCGTAATAAATTTCACGCGGGCGAAGTGCTGGGCTCTAGTATATAATATGTTATATTATACATATATATTTTTAGTACAGAATTATTTTTATTTAATATAGATTACAAAAATACTTATTGAAAGTCATTTAACTATTTCGGAAAAAACCTCTGTCCTGGGAAAAGAATCAGCAAGAAACCCAGCGGGACGTTCATCATCATCATTACAGCCCTTCGTAAGTCCACTGCTGAACATAGGCCTCCCCCAAGGAATGCCACGAAGCATGATCCTGAGCCAGGTCTGCATCCATCGACCTCTTGCATGTCTTATCAGGTCGTCACTCCATCTAGCGAGGGGACGCCCCACACTTCGCCTAACGGTACTAGGCTGCCACTCGAGAAACTTTCTTCCCATCGGTTGCTGGTTCTTCGAGCTATATGGCCGACCCATTGCCACTTCAGCATACTATTTCTTAGGGCTATGTCGGTTACTCTGGTTCTACTGCGGATATCCTCATTCCTAAGTTTATCACGCAGAGAAACTCCGAGCATAGCCCTCTCCATAGCTCGCTGAGCGGCTTTGAGCTTCCTTATACAGCCAGCAGTGAAGGATAACGTCTTAGATCCATAGGTCATCACTGGCAATACGCACTGGTTGTACAATCTCGTTTTCAGGTTTTGAGGTATACGTGACGAGAACATGTGTCCTAATTTCCCGAACGCTGCCCAGCCGAGTTCAATCCGTCGATTGACCTCTCGGTCAAAGTTGGACTTACCTAATCGGACTATTTGTCCCAGGTTAACATACTCCTCAACAACTTCTAGCTTCATGCTCCCAACAACTACCGGCATAGGTGTGACATAGGCCGGCCACAAACATACGGAATTCCGTTTCGGGATTCCGTTTCGATATTCCGATTCGGAATCCCGAACCCAGCAAGTCCATATAAAATCTATGACCCGCCACACACGGACGGTAGTTTTCCGTTCGAAATTTTGCGGGCAAAACGGGATTCCGTATGTGTGTGGCCGACCCGTTCGGAATTTCGAAACGGAATCCCGAAACGGAATTCCGTTGTCCATGTTCATCTTAAGACCTATCCGTTGGAAGACACTATTGAGGTCATTGAGCTTAGTGCTTAGGTTCTCCAGCGATTCTGCCATAACGACTATATCGTCGGCAAATCGAAGGTGAGTGATGTATTCGCGATGATGTTAATACCGTATCCTTTCCGGTCCAGTAGCTTGAAAACGTCTTCCAATGTAGCGGTGAAGAGTTTCGGGGATATAACGTCACCCGGTCATACACCTCTCTGCAGTTGAATAGCTTTCGTACTCTAGTTCTGTACTCGGATAGCCATCGTAGCCTTACTGTACAAATACTTCAGCACTTCTATATATCGCTGAAGGGACTGCAGCACTGCCCAAATTTCGACAAAATCAAAGGCTTTCTTATAGTCCACATACGCTAAACTTCTGTACAATTTGCCGAAGGGTATGTATGTGGTCTATGGTGTTAAACCCTTTTCGCAAACCGGGTTGTTCGGGAGGCTGGAAGTCGACGAGTCAGTGTGCGAAACGATTCGTAATGACTCTCGAAAACAGCGCATAGATGCGGCTCAGACGGGAAATTGGTCTGTAGTTCTTCAAGAGAGTATTGTCGCCTCTCTTGAAGAACAAGACCATCGTACCTCTGCTCCACGCCTCCGGAGTAGTGCCACTATGGAGGACCCCACCCTGCGGGGAGCTCCTCCTTATTTGAACTGCTTGAGATTCACCAGCAATCTATCTTGTTCGTGAACTGAGCATGTTTACTATCCAGTCAATCAGTGATAGTTGAGTTGAACCAGCACTGATTGACTACTTAGTGCAACTTTTAAGAGGGAGAAGTTCATTCTGTTAAAATCACCTTCTATATCTGTGAAGGATCCTAGACATATTTCTTTGTTTTGGATGAATCATTCTGTCGATTCTGGCGCTAATGAGCCTAAGCTTTAGGCTCATTAGTGCCGACCCCCTTAAATCCCTTTCTCACACCCTCTCCATCATCTTTAGGAGAAAGGATGTGAGGCTAACGGATCTATAGGATTTTAGGTCCGTATAGTCGCTTTTACCTGATTTGGGTATGAACGTAACTTTCATTTCCCTTCATCCCCTAGGAACATATCTGAAGGCCAGACATGCTTTCATTATGGCAAAAAGTCTGACTATTAGGCCTTTAAATTAAGCATGGAGATTAGCAATGCTGCTGATGCACAGGCTCTTCAACAGGACATAGATGCGATATCGAAATGGAGTAAAGTGAACCATCTTCCTCTTAATGAGACTAAATGTAAGGTTTTGCATTAAAACGGAATCCTATCATTATTGATTATTACTTATATGACGCGCCTTTGGTAAAAGTATGCGTGACTTTGGTTTAATATTAGACACTAAATTAATTTTTCACAATCATATGACATCCATTTGCAAGTTAGCTGGTAAGACTGGGTTTTGTGATGAGGACTGCTGCTGAATTTGATGATATAAGGGTGGCTAAAACTTTGTATAATGCGTATGTTCAAAGTAAACTAGAGTATGCAGCTGCGGTCTGGAATTCCTACGAGAAAAAGTATACTCTCTTGTTAGATAAGATACAACGTAAAACAACTTGATGGCTTTATAAGAAGAGTTATGGGTACTACCCTTATTTGTATCCTTCTTTATTTGTCTTGGGTATGGTTAATTTTGAAACCCTAACGTTTAGGAAGATGATGCTAACTATTGGGCACTATTTTTCTATAATTCATCACAAGTGGGACTGCCAGTCTGTTATGGAGAGCATCAGTTTGTTGGTGCCCAGGTACCTGCTGAGAGATGATATAGGAATGATGGCTCCGCGCCGTAGGCTATGTCTCCTAGATAGACCAGTAACGTGTACCGAATGTGCTGCCTTTTCATCAGCATATCGAGCATTAACACATAGGGGACATACACACAGCTCGATGAAAATGACATATTTGCAGACAGTATGACATGTCTGCTGATTCTTTTCTATAAAATTATCAATGGCATGACAATTAATAAATAGAAATGTTAATTATCTTGACTGTGTACTGTTATTTTGTATCTAAGATGTAATTTTAATTATGGGTATATTAGGGTTGTAATTAACTTTCATCGACATTGTATTAAGGCGCAGGTTGAGCAAAATGTCGCGCTAGTCGTTATTTGGGCGGTTTTTAGGAGCTATCTACTTTTTATTTAAAAGATATATCAACAAATAAAAAACACATTATGTTTCTACATAATCTTGATTCCATAAAAGCTATATCCAATTTTTTTTTAAAGGAATAAATATTAATATAATCTCCTTACAACGAAACCACATAAATATGAAATTATTATTGATAACATGCATCTCCTCGTAAAGTAAGTATTATTTTATTTTGCGATTTACACCAATGGATAGGCAATTTATTAATAAACATTTGTATAGTAAATTTTTTTTCAAAAGACCAAAATTTGATTTTATTAAGAAATTATTTTAAAATCTGGGCATATTTACTGCTCACGGGCTTGGTGAAGTCAGTGAGCGCTGAGCTCTTCGACGTGAAGCCCGTGTCGTTAGAGCGTCGACCGACGCATACGCCACGTCATATGAGTCGATAATATTATTACTTATTAGGTTATTTATAGGTAGTATTATTTGTTTGTTTTGGGTATAATTTTTCGTATTAGTTATACATATATTTGTTGTGTTTTTTACTGCGCGATGAAGATTTTTGCGTGTATTTTCTTTGAAGTAAATGCAAATAAAAAAATGAAGCACCATTAGCATGTAAGGTTCGAATCCATAATTAAAATTTCGACAAATATTATAATTTACATTATAAAAGGCTAATTCAACATTATCACCCAACCACAATATCTTTAAGTATAGTACTGCCACGATGGTCTAGTGGTTGTAGTAGTGCGACTGCTGATCATGAGGTCCCGGGTTCGAATCCTGGGTCGGGCCAAAAAGTTTTTCATTTATGTTCTAAGTTATAATTAGTATTACTAAGTTATAGTTTTTTGCTAAAATATAGTATATTATTTATTGCTTGTTTTTTCTTCTTTTTCAAAAAATAATTGAGTACATAAGGTGTTCTATACTTATAACTCGGTAAAAAGTACTAATATACCTACTTTTTACTATAAACTAAAAATTTTTAAAACTAAATTTAACTAAAAAGACTAAGCTGACCATTTATTTTTTAACTCATAACAGGACATGGGTTTATTTATACTCTAAAAACTATAACTTTATACAATTAGTGTTCACTATAAAATTATATTCGGTATAGACGGTAATTATTAAATGCAACATATTTTTTTTAAATTATTAATTACATTTGTCAGTGGATTAAATTTGCTTTAATAAAGTTGGTGATGATTTTAAATAAGAATAAAATTCTGCTCAAGTTTTTTATTGTTATCTTTGTTAACAACATCGCCTTTAGAACTCTGGAACCGTAAGTGTTTCTTTCAGACGTCCACAATTTATGCAAAATAAAAAAATACTCTTTCTACCGGAGCATTCGTACCAGGTAGACATAAAATATATTCGATTAAAAAAAATTATGTTGAAGATTGTTGACTTTGAATACTTCCATCCAACGAGTTACGGGACAATTTTGTGTCCCGGAGCTTTGTTTGGGGACAATGGGACAGGAGACCGAGAAAAGGGACAGTCCCGTTCAAAACGGGACGTATGGTCACTTTAGCTATAACCCGGCGACCATGAAGCAAATACAAAGTTAGTCTTTGTATTAGTTTCATGGTGGCGCAGTGGCTTAGCAATCAGTTGTTGCGCTGGGGGCCGCGGGTTCGAATCCCGCATGGAACAAGATTTGTATGGCCTACAAATAATTGTTCCGGGTCTGGATGTTTGTCTTTGTGCAATTTATGTTTGTAAACTGCCTCCACGACACAGGAGAAAATCCTAGTGTGGGTGTAACGTTTTTTTACAACTGAAATTGAAAGATTGAACCCTTATACTTCTTGTTGATTTTTGTATTTATATATTTTTTATTGCACCAAATATTTGTACAAAAGCCGAGTTATCTATTTATTTACCTATAGTGAATAGGTATCTTTTAAACTCACAATTTTCAATGCTTCCGTTTATATAATTAATTATAAAATTTCATAATTAGATAATATATGAAAATACATAATTCTAATATAATGCAACTAATATATACAGAATAAAAAAATTAAAATACATTTATCTTTGTACGCTATGTGTATTTCCATAAAATAGTTTATTGATGTTGAAAAAATAATACTACTTTCGTACAATAGGTGGCGTCTTACATATTTCTTCCGGCGAGCCGCTCGCTACAATATATTAATATTGTAGCGAACGGCGCGCCGGTCAAATGCTCAAGGTCGTTCGCATGGAGTAGCCCCTTAATTGATTTGACAAAATATTTCATAGCCTGACATTGTACGATTGAGACCTTTCCCTTTTTTAAATATTGTACAATCATTAATATTTTATGTTTCAATTGGCTTTATTAATGTTTTAATTTCTTGACACGGGCTGCTAAAAGCTTCGAGATTTATATTAATATTATATTATAAATTTTTAATTTATAATTAATAATTGTTATTGTTATAAACAGATGCAATTTTTTTTGCATGTAAATTTCGCCTTGTGTGTGTTTTGGATTTTATGTAAGCCATAAGAGTGTTTGAATTAAATAAATAAATAAATAAATGTACTGAGAGGTTAAAGTTAATATATTTACTGATTTTAATTTTTCTCTAAGGGATACTTTCGAAACTAGGTTAGAAATTGCTCTGGCTCTGACTCTTGTGGTGTGATAATGTTGAGTAAGTGATACGTTACATTGCAGGCGGAGAGGACATTGTTGCTAAACACACTGAAAGAGAACAACATCGAGCGTCCGCCGCTGCCCGCCCCCACCCCCGCCCCCGCGCCCGCCCCCGCACCCGCTCCTGCTCACTCCGCTGCTTCTAACGCTAAGGTGAGTCACAGTTAGTTACTTATGTTAAGTTCTTCTACGTGATAGATGCTGCAGCTGGTTGAAGCACGCACGGGTCGACTCGTAGGACTACGCTTTCACGGAATACCAGTTTAATACTGCTGTGTTACGTATGGCGGGAGTAGAAAATCGGAGACCCAGTAAAAAAGTGGGAATGTCGCATTCCATTTTAGTCCTCCGATATGGCAATGCAACTGCATTTTGATTCGTAACCATGGATAGATATCTATGGGCCACAGTATCCACTTACCATCACGTGAACACTGCTCGTATGTCATATTTATTCTATAGAAAAAAGTTTGTGAGACCCTGTGTACTAGTCAACTGTTGTCGAATCTAGCCAAGTCCAAATCACCAAAAATTTGGCGCAAAGTAGCTTTAAGTCGCCCAAAATTTTTTTATTAAAACTTAAAGAACAATGGCAGACTTTCATACATAAAATTAGTTAAGAATGAATAATCTATATATCAAAAATATCTTAAAATGTTAAGCGTCACTCCCTTAATAACTCTGTCAAAGAATTTTGTCCTGAGAAGGCGTCAAAAAAAAAGATATTTAGATTTGAACCGTTTTAGGTTATGTCTTATGTCACTTGGAAAAAGTCATGCGTCCTGTGGTTGTTTGATGTTAGCTTAATACATTCTCAACATAATTTTCCCTACCTACATAATTGAGAGTTTTTTAGATTATTGTATCTCTATTATATATTTGCATACTATAAATGTATATTTCTAGCATGGCTCCAGGGCCTTTGTGTCATACAGTGACATTCTCAGAAGGGCTAGAGCCCAGAGTCGTAAACTCAGTAAAAAAAACATTGACATTTTGTTTTAGCAAGTGTTGCCATAACATTAAATGGAATTGTTACATATTACTATGATTGAGATAATGTATTATTGTAGGAAGTTCTTTGTAAGACTTCTTTTCAACCATATCACTTTTATTATTATTATTTATTTATTGTATAGTTATTACTAATAATAACTTAATATAAAAATATTTTGTGGTATGTGTTGTGTTGGTAGTCTTACAAAGTGTATACGAAAATAGTATGAATATTACTATAATAACAACTCTTGAATAGAGTAAAATGATTTAAGTCGTTTGATATTCCCAAAAATGTTTTTTTCTGTGGCTTTAATTAAAATACATTTTTATTTGAAAAATTATAGAAAAATAAAACTCATTTTATATACAGAATGGGGTCCCACATATATGCAATAAATTAAACCACAAGTAATACTAGTCCATAGAAGTGTAGAAAAATTAAATATTAAATTAAAACCCGTAAAATAAAAAAGTGAAATTTTCAAACAAAATAAATATTAAAATAAATTCAGTAAAAGTAAACACTCTGTTTAGACAACGTACCTTGACCCCTTGGAAGAGTGGCAACGTTGCACGCGGGTGGCATGGCGATTGGCGGCAGGCAGCGTTATTGTTTGTCGGCACGGCCTATGGTTCGTTGGACAGTGTGCGACGAAATAAAAACTTACTCACTAAACTGTTTAGGTATTTTACCGCCACTTTTTTATTTCGCGAAAATGGAACTGAACGAAATAAATATTATTGCATATTAGTAGCCAAATTTAATGAAACCCTATATTTTAAAATTTTCAAAATCGTTCTTGAATGCACAAGTTACATCGCCGCATAATGTTGTCCTGAAGCTTGCTCAAAAAATTTCGTTCAGGATCCAGAGCTTTTAATTTGTTAAAGGCGGCAACAATACGATTGCGCAGTTCATCTTCGGTTTCGAAAATCTTTGAGTACACTTCATTTTTAATAAAGCCACATAAAAAAAAGTCTAGAGGAGTGAGGTCAAAAAAAGTAAAGTAGTTTCAATATCACAGTAAAAAATTAACGTACTTAAAACACTATTTACACACACAAAGTCAATCAACTAATGTCTATTTCACCGTAAAATAATTGTTTGACTAATTGTATTTATCTTACGATAATACGATAATTATCTTACGATAAATAATTACGATGCGCGTAGGCAGCGAAACGCACCTGTATCCTGGAACAATTGCGCGTGAACTGGAAGCTAAACTTCCAAATTCCAAAATGGCGAAAATAATAAAAGTAATAAATAGGGCGGCCACAAGGTGCAATAATCGTTTATCGATACTTTTCTTTTTACGCTTACTTACTTACTACGTTTGAATACAAGTAATTTTGATTTTTGATTTCATAACAATCGACAAGTTATTGATATTAAAAAAAAAGTTTATTTTTGTACAATTGAACTTACGAAACTACCGATTTGTGACTTCCTGGGAAACGGTTAAGTATGTATGACTTTTTAATTGGTTGTTTTTATGGGTTTTTTATCATGTTAAAATAATTTATTATCTCTAAATCTACAAGAACACACTTAAACAAAAAAAAGCTTTAAAGCTTAGCTTTAATACTTAGGTCGTAGTATTTTTAGGATTATCATAACAACACGATAATTCTAAAAAAACCATACCCAAAGTGTTTAAAGCTAAACATTTTTTTTGTTTATCGTTTATTACTTACTCCCTTTGAAAGAAGCTAATCGTCGATAACAGGTGTCCTACTCTATGACAAAGGCGCGCGCGCCGTTGCGCCGTCGCCTTTGAAGTACGCCGCGTGCCTCGTGCCGCTTGTTTATGCACGCCGACAAAAGACACCGCTGTCGATACGTCGCAATACCAATAGTTTGCACTGCGTGGCAACGTCGCTTTTTAATATTCAAGGATTCAAGTTCATTGAATCATTGACTTAGTGACCCAATTCTATAGAGGGTTCAAATATGCTTAAAATTAAAACTCTACTTTTTGACCTAATTACTGGGCCGATTATGTTCATTTTTTGTACATCGTCAGCAAAGGCGATAACAAGTATGTGGTTTCATTTATTGCATATATGTGGGACCCCATTCTGTATAACTTATTTCTAGACGCAATAATTTTTGTAAACTATTTTTCTGCCATTGTTCTTTGATGCCTTAATTTATTTAAAGAATACTAAAAAGGAATGTAAGCGTAGAAGAAAAAACTAATAAAATAAAAAAAAACAAAATCTACATTTTTTTTAATGAACTCGTACATATTTCCATTTTTTTTAATTTTGCTTTATAAAATTTATAGAATTTCTCAATCGCCTTCTTTTTAAGATACTTATTAGATCTCCCAGCTCGTAGCAACAAAATGTGTTTATAATGCAATATATAAATAATTATTTTTAAATACCGTTTTAAATTCACGATGGCCTTGTTGTAATTGCGAAGAAAAAGAATCCTGTAATGTAGTTTATGCAGTGGACCATAAATTTTCTCATCTGCGAGAGAGTGCTATAACTGGCACTCGATTGTTAAGGATCTATAACTGTATCTTAAAAACAATTTTTATAAGTAACTGTTCATTGAACTTACCTTATAATAGTTATAAGTTAAAGCTATCACAACATACTTATTACTTGAAGATAGTTTATCGACAGAAACATTAATCAATCAGATTCTGTTTTATATAATATATTTTCGATTTAAAAATTAGTCACTCAAGTGTTGTAATTGTATAAAATCCCCTATGTAAAGCCAATATCACAGTTTTTTCTATTCATTTGCACTATTTTGCAATGACTATAAAACTGTTTTTATTAAAAAATATCAATGAAATATCAAGTTATAACTTAAATACAAAATTATCAGATTAAGCTCCTGATAAAAAAGTTTTTAATTGTCTTATACATCACTTACAGGTCGATGCAATGGCAGCCAACTGTGTTCAATTACGACAGAGTCTTGCGCATTTGCAAAGTCAGTTAAACGTCTTAACGAATAAAAATAGCACTAAAGAGGAGCCCGCAAAGCCAGAAAAACAGAAGAAATCTAAATCTAAAAAGAGCAAAGCAGAGAAACAAGCACAAAAACTCGCTGCTGAAAAATGTGATTCTGCAAAAGAACCAGAGAGCGATGGTCCCAGTGCTGCCAAAGAATGTACAGACGAAGTGAAACTTATTGCCAACGAAATTGAAGTCCAAAATGCCGTTGCAGTTGAAAGTCCAGAGGAGAAAATAGATGATAAGACCATGGAAAGTCTAATACAAGCTATAAACATGGCGAACATAAACCTTTGCGACTTAAATGTGAGTGATGGCGAAGTACCAGATACGAGTGTTGAAAAAGCCGTTACACCAGAAGTATTACCAAGTATTACCGACACTGAAGAAATAGAAACAGAAGTAGTGCCAAATATAATTGATTCTGAAATAATAAAAGAATCAAGTGTAAACGAAGCCATAACTGAAGTCAGTTCCAAAGAGGAATCCAGTATTACTGAAGTGACTACCGAAGACACGGCGTCTTCTAGTATGGTAGAATTAAGTTCTAATGAAGAGATTGCGCATATAGAGGAAGTCAAGCCAATATCAAATGAGGAGGCCTAAATTGAATCCGTCAATTTGTAAATAGTTTTTCTAATGACTTTTCTACATTATTTTATACATTAAAATAAACTTTGAGAGGTTCATTTATGGACGTGTTTTTTAGGAACAGTTTGTTCCTGCAGGGCCTATGTCAGTGACTTGTAATAGTTGACCAGTGATTAGTGTTTTTAGGGAGAATCAGATCAGATCAGATAGGAGTTTGACATGATTGTGAAATAAAAAATTGTGACAATTAATATATTTTTCATTTTTATATTTAAGAGACGGTGGTGTTAAACGAGCACACGGTCCACTTGATGGTGTGTGGTTATAAATGGTGGAACTATGCTGCAGCTATATTATGGGTTGGCGTATGGAAGAAGGACCACGCTCACAGAATACCAGAGTAAAATAGCTACTTAATGCTGTTGTGTTTCGTATGGTGAATTTAAGTACTGGAGACCTTTTTACTGGAAACGAGGTATTCCATCTTAGTCCTTAGGGGTGACAACACATCTGTATTATGATTCTTAACGAGGATAGATGTAGATGCCTATGGGCCACAACATGCACTTACAATCAGGTGGACTTTGTGCTCGTTTGTCAAGTGAATGCACCGGGTCATAAATACCTATCTCAATTAGGAATAAAAGTACAGAACTCACTGTAACGCAAATGGAGTATAATTTCCATCAGTTCGCTGAAATCTGTGTTTACGTCCGTAACCACATCTGCTGTAAGCGTCTCCGTGACCTTGAAGACCTCACTTTCTCTATGATCTGGGCATTGATAGACACAGGAATGGATAAAATTATTTATTCTTGTGTCTACCAATCGCACAGCGGTGACCAGGAGACAACTAGGCTGTTTGAACACCTCAGTGAAGCCTCTGATGTGGCTCTAAATCGGTATCCTAATGCACGGTTGGTTTTCCTGGGGGACTTTAATGCCTGTCATCGGGACTGGCTGTTCCCATACCAGAAGACCGGCCACGCTGGGAGAGAGGCGTAGAATTTTGCCTTGTCCGCTGGGCCTCTCCCAGCTGGTACATACAACAAGCGACTAGGGTACCTGATGTGGATGGGCACACAGCCAACTGCCTCGACCTTCTGCTGACGACCGATCCAGACAGGTACGATGTTCAGGTTACCTCATTCTTGGGAACTTATGACCACTGTCTGGTGAAATCTGTGTCGTTATATTCCCCACCTAACTATGATTCCTACGGCGTGCGACGAGTGTGCCGATACAAGTCAGCAGATTGGGATGACATGCGGCATTTCCTTGCATCTTATCCTTGGCGGCAGGTCTGCTTCTCGTCTAAAGACCTGTCGAAATGCGCGGCTGCCATAACCGACGTGATACGTCAAGCGATGGAGTATTTCATCCCCTTTGCTTACGTGTCCATTGGTGGTAAAGCTCGCCCATGGTTCAACGCCGAGTACGCTTGTGCTGAAAAGCATATGGCATACTTATTGTCGGGCGATGCTCGAGACCGCAAAGCTCCGGATGTTAGCCTTAAGAAGAGCAGTAGAGCTTTTTGGTCTCTCGCCAAAGCGGTCGAGACAAACTTCTGTCAGTCTACACTGCCTCCGCTGGTAAAACCAGATGGCTCACTGGCGCGTGCGCCTAAGGAGAAAGCGGACTTATTTGCTTCTCTTTTTGTTTGCAATTCGCGTCTGGACAGTAGCAACAGCGTACCGTCTCAATTACCTCGCTGCGGTACCTCTATGTCAGAGGTCCGTATCACCTACAAGGAGTTTCTTAAAAGCTTGCGAAGTCTAGACGTGAACAAAGCTAGTGGACCTGACGATATACCAGCTATACTTCTAAAGGTCTGTGCACCTGAGTTGTCTCCTGTATTGACACGTTTGTTCCGCCTCTCCTTCTGGACTGGAATAGTGCCTAAATCTGGGAAGCTGGCCAATGTGCAGCCTGTGCCTAAAAAAGGTAACCGTACCGACCCTGCCAACTATCGGCCAATTTCAATAACCTCCATACTCTGCAAGATTATGGAGCGTATATTGACGCCCATCTCATGGCATACCTAGAGCAAAATAATCTCGTCAGTGATCTCCAGTACGGGTTGTCTGGGTGAAAGACTTTATGAGTGTACGGTCTCTCCGGGTCGTCGTCGATGGCTGCTCATCCAATACTGTAGTGACTAACGCCGTTGTTCCTCAGGGGTCCTTTCTCTTCGCAACTCTCTTCCTGCTGCATATAAATGATCTGCTGCTCATTGCCGGTATCCATGGGTACGGAGACGACAGCACAGTTGTGGAGAGATACCAATCAAGTGCCCGGGCCAGTCGGGATCAAATCCAGTCAGAAAGAGAGGCTATGGTTGAGCGTGTGAGTCTCACTCACACTACAGGCAGTTTCCGAATGGGGCGATGCCAATCTCGCGAGATTTAACGCCTCCAAAATACAAGCGTGTCTTTTCACCGCTAAAAGGAGCCCGCTCACCTTGGCTCCTACTTTCCGGAATGTATCCTTGAAGCATACTGACAGCCTTTAGTTGTTAGGGGTTGAATTTTCTTCGAACCTCAACTATGAGTCCAGAGAAAGAAACTTGGTGTGCTTGCAAGGGTGCGGCGGTACTTCACGCCGGGGCAACTTCTTACCTTATATAAAGCGCAAGTTCGGTCGTCCATGAGTACCTACTGCTGTCACACATGGGCATGCGTTGGACACAGTGGAGAGACGTGCTAAGAGGCTCATTAGTGACCTTGATTTGGTTGAAACCAATCTTGTCAGCCTCGAGCACAGCCGCAGAGAAGCCAGTCTCTCGATATTCTATAGGATGCATATAGGTGAGGGTGCGCAGGAATTACACGCTTTAATTCCTCCCTCTCTTTTCCACCATCGGATAACCAGGCGGTCGGCGGGTCTCCATCCCTTTGTTGCTGATATCTACGCATTAGAACCAAACGGTTTGCTTCGTCTTTTGTAATGCGTAAAGCAAAGTTGTGGAATAATTTATCGGCGTCTGTCTTTCCGTCCGAAAACAATCTGGGTGTCTTCAAGGCAAGAGTGAACAGTGACAGTGCGATTTACCATCTAAGACTGCATCACCACTTACAACCAGGGGGTATTGTGGTCAAGCACTGGCTTATAATAAGTAAAAAAAAAAACTATCCCACCTGATGGATGGGAAGCAAACATAATATTTAAAAAAAACTTCCCACCCTAGGGTTTTCTCCTGAATCGTGGAGGCAGTTTACAAACAGATATTGCACAAGGACACACATCTAGACCCGGAACAATTATTTGTAGGTCATACAAATACGTACTTGTTCCGTGCGGGATTCGAACTCGCGGCCTCTAACGCAGCAACTCATTGCTAAACCACGGAGCCGTCAAATATGTATACGACATATTCTTCAATATTGTTCCTCAATTTATTATTCTTTTTCTGATTTTGCCATATTACCTTAGTTATCTACTTTGATCTCTGTTTTGTTTTATTTATTTCTGGTTTATATTCGGTACGAATCGGACGTGTACACATATTATACAGCAAGTTATCCGTGGATAACGGAGCTGGCATAGATTAATGATAAGTATTCGCGCGCTCTGACTAGATACCGCGCTCCCTGCAAGTAACAGCTCCATGAATACGGCATCTTAATATTGTAGTGTGTAAGACTATTTGCATTATGCTAGTGTGCGTGAAAAATTGTATATGCCAGCAGCTTAACTATTACCCGATCAACAGGAAAATTTATTTTATGCTATGGCTTAGTAGTTAAGTTCATAGTTATGAATGTATTCCAGAAATACTTAAAAATGAATAGTTTATTAATAACTAATGTATCAATATATTTGTGTATATTATGTATAGGTTTTTCTTCTGAATACATGACATATAAATGATAAGGCCTCCTTTTTATCAGTTAAATTTTTTTATTTACATGTCTAACTTTTTTTTTATAGGATCGGGTGACAAACGAGCACACAGTCTATCTGATGGTAAGTGGTTACTGTGACCCATAGACATCTACATCTCCTCAATAAAGACTCAAGATGCAGATGCGTTGTCACCCGTGAGGACTAAGATGGAATGCCTCTTTGCTAGTAAAAAGGGTCTCCGGTTCTCTACACTCACCATACGAAACACAGCAGTATTAAGCTGCTATTTTACGCTGGTTTTCTACAGGTTTTATACAGAAAAAAATCGAAAAGATTTTTTTGTGTCCTTTAATATTTTACTTGTTTTATTTTTTATTTTATGTTGTTATAGCAGCAATATAAATACACATTCTGTGAAAATTCTACATATTACGGTTCATAAGATACAGCCTACTGACAGACAGACGGAACGATAGTGGAGACCTGGGTCCCGTTGATACTCTTTGGGTACGGAACCCTAATAAACGGCAATTATATCATTTTAGCAATACTACATAAATAAACATTAAATAATATAGAATTAGGTTATTATAATAAGTTAAATATATTATATTATAAAATATAGTAACAGTAAATTCACATATAAAAATCTCAGCCACGGGGAACTTTATTTTTGCATTCGCGGCAACACTGAATAGCGTCATTGATATTTTGTGACTTATTTATGGCTCGTGTTATTTTATGTTAAAATTTCGAAATTGTATGATACTTAATGATAGTAAGGTCAGTTGGGGCAAGTGCCCCTACGGGGCATGTGCGACGAACATCAATATCTCATAAACCAATACAGTATTTGTAAAACGCGCTATACCCTGTCCTTCTACAACAAATTTTAGTTCCGAAGTAAAATTTAAGATGTTGTCACTGGGTCTAGTACGATGTGAGTCGTCATATTGTTTTGACCCTTTTTTTCTCGTGGAGTCCACGTTGATAAGTGCTGTGCATATCAGTACGAATCTCGAGAAAAAATTGCTACCGAGTGATTTGAACCAGGTCATTGCCTTCTCTAAACATTATTCTTCATAAACATGTATATATTTTGTTTCTATGTCGCAGGTAATTAACTTTAGCGATGCTTTTACTTTTATAACCTAAAACAAACGAAGTGA